TATACATATATATACATATATATATGTATGTATATGTTCTTTATGTCATTTATTTTTTAAAGGGGTATTTGCAATGATTAAGTCATTGCAGAAAGTTCTATCTTGCGATCTCCAGGCCCAGGTTTGATGATATGAAGGCCATATTTTCCAACTCCTAGTCCTCCTTCTCTTTGTTTCCAACTTTTGTATGCCAGTGACCAGTTATTATTAATGCATCTTGATTGTGTGTCCAATGACTTTCAGACTGCAGAAAAACAAACTCGATCCTCCAGTTGCAATTCTGAAAGATTCTGTGGGAAAAAATCTTGAATGATGAAGGAAATACAAAAAAAACATGGAAGGATTGCATGGTCACCATACCAGAGAGAATTGGTTGACAATGAACCATTTCAGGAATTAGAAAGGACCATTGAAATGAAGGAAGAAGTTCAAATTGCACTGAAGATATTTGCAAAAATAAGGCCACAGGAACTGATGGACTATCAGGTGATGTATTTCTGTAAATAGTGGCAGCCTTGGATGTGCTCACTAGACTGTTCCCATATATTTGGAAGGTAGCTACCTGGATAACTGATGGGAAAAGATCCATATTTATCTCCAATTTTAAAATGTGCACAAGTAATCTAACAATATCATTAATTACATGAAAGTAAAATCTTGCTAAAGATTATTTACAAATGTATAGTACGTCAACAGGGACCTTTCAAAAATGCAAGCTGGATTCAGAAAAGGCCATGGTACAAGGAATATCATTGCTAATGTCAGATTGACCTTGGCTGAAAGCAAATGATAGCAGAAAAATGTTTACTTGTGCTTTATTGATTATCCAAAGGCACTTGATTGTGTGGATCTTAACAAATTATGGATGCCATTGAAAAGAATGGGAATCCCTGAACACTTCCTTGTGCTTATGTGATGCTATACATAGACCAGGAAACAGTTATCCAAATAGAACAAGAGAATATTGTGTGCTTTAAAATCAGGAAAGGTATGTATCAGAATTTATCCTTTCTCCATACCTAGTCAATCTGTATGTTGAGCAAATTATTCAAAAATTCGGATGATATATATAGAAGAATGAGGCAAAAGGATTGTAGGAACACCTATCAACAATCTGTGTTATGCAGCTGATACAACCGGCTTAACAAAAATAAGAAAGACTTGAAACACATATTGGAGAAGACCAAAGACTACAATCTTTAATATGGATTCCATCTCACATAAAAAACCCAAAAATTCTCACCACTGATCTGATGGGCAACATGACGATGAATGGAGAAAATATTGAAGTTGTCGATAATTTCATTTTACATGGATCCATAATCAACACTCACAGTAACAGCAATCAAATATGAAAAGACAAGTTGCACTGGTAAAATCTGTTGTTAAGGACTTCTTCAAAGTGTTCAAAGGGCTAAGTATCAGTTTAAAGACTAACGTGCTCCTTATACAAATAACGATATTTCCACTTGTTTCATATGTTTGTGAAAGTTAGACAATGAATAAGGAAAAGTAGAGAAGAATTCATACCATTGAATTATGGTGTTGGGAAAGAATATTCAATATACTGTCAAAAGAACAGTCAAATCTGTCATAGAGGAAATAAAATCAGGGTGCTATTTGGGGGGGAAGATGTTGAAACTTTGTATCATGTCAAGTGAAACCAGTCCTTGAAAAAAGTCATCATGGTGTGGAAGGCAGAGGGTCTGCTAAAGAAAGACCCATGAGATGGAGTGACGCAGTGACTGCAGCAATGGACTCGATATGTTGGAGATAATGAGGATGGCACAGGATAGGGCAGGGTTCGGATGTGCTGTTCATATGATCACTTGACAGCACCTAAGAACATCAGCAAAGGTAGGCATGGATTAGGTCAAACACCCATGAGGTGTTTCATCTCATCTGGGGTCTTCCTCTCCTGAGCTGTCCTTCTACCAGGTGGATTGGCACAGGGGCTGCTGCAACAAGTTATGTGTCATGAATAGCACAGGATAGGACAGGGTTCAGATCTGTTGTTCATAGAGTCGCTATGAGTCATACTCAACTTGACAGCGCCTAACAACAACATACGAGGTGGAGATCAGACTCTGTTACATAACAATTTATTACCTTGAGCACATATTAGAAGTTCTCCAAACCACTGATTTCTTGTTTGAAAACAAGAATAGTGATACTATCTCACCACGGAATGTGGTTGTTGTTATTGTTGTTAGGTGTCATCAAGTTGAGTACAACTCACAGCAACCCTAAGAACAACAGATCTGAACCCTCTTCTATACTGTGCCATCTTCACACTTTGTGACACATTAGAGCCCATTGCGGCAGTCACTGGGTCAATCACCTGGTGGAACATCTTCCTCTCCTTTGCTGACCTTCTAACTTTCTGAGCATCATGTCCTTCTCCAAGGAATAGCCCCTCCTAACAACATACCCAAAGCATGTGAGGTGAAGCCTCATCGTCTTAGCCTCGAAAGAACACTCTGGCTTCTCTCCAAGAGAGAGTTCTGTTCTGCTGTTCTGGCCATCCATGGGATGCTCAGCACTGTTCTTTAACACCACAGCTCAAAGGCATCTACTCTTCTTCTGTCATCCTTATTCGTTGTCCAGCTCTCAGATCCATAGAAAGTGATCAGAAAGACGATGGCCTGGATCAGACACACCTTACTCCTCCAAGTGATATCATTACTCCTCAATAATTTTGAGAGGTCCCTAACTGCAAACTTTCCCAGAGAACATGGTTGTTAAGACTAAATCAGATTATTCTGGCCTCTGACAGCAGTATGTGCTAGATAAATGTTATTCATAAGAGTCATTATTTCTTTTTTCTTAGTTTTGCATATTGTTGTACAGCATTTGTAGATAATTAAGGAATGAGAACATGAGAGCATTAATGAAATTCTTCTTCTTTTGTCGTTATATGTGGTCGAGCCTCTTGAGAGACATAGCAACCCTATGTACAGCAGCTCTGAACCCTGCCCTGTCCTAAGACAGTCTCACTAATTCTGACACACCAACTCCCTTACCCAGTTACTACATCCATCTCATCTGAGGTCTTCCTCTCCTGTGCTGTCCCTCCACCCTTCTGAGTGTGATGTCCTCCTCCAAGGACTGGTATCTCATGATCACATGCCCAAAGTATGTGAGATGGAGTTTTAAAATCCTAGCCTCCAAGGAGAAACTTTGTTTCACCCTCTCTAAGATAGACCTGTTTGTTTTCTTGGCAGTTCATGGTATGTTCAAGTCTCTTCTCCAGTACCACAATGCAAAGACATTGATTCATCTTCTGCCATCCTTAGTCACTGTCTAGCATAGTAAGTAATTGAGAAGACAATTGCCTGGATTAGGTGCACCTTAGTCTCTAGATTGACATCATTGCTTTTCAGTACTCTGGAGAGGTCTCTAACAGCAGATTTTTCCCAATGCAATTTATCTTTTGATTTTTCTGACTCTTGGTGCTGGTGCTTCAGGCCCTCCTCAGTTTCAGCAAGCAAGATCGTGTCATCCACATAACATAGGTTGTTGACGAATCCTGATGCCACGTTCCTCCTTATAAAGCCTTGCTTCCCGAATGATCATCTGTCCTGCATATAGATTAGAAAGGTATGGAGATAGGATGCATCCCTGATGCACACTTCTTTCCTGATTTTGAACCATGCAGTGTTTCCCTGCTCTATTCTGAGAATAGCTTCCTGGTCTAAGTATGTTGTTGTTGTTGTTATGTGCCGTCGAGTCGCTTGCGACTCATAGCGACCGCATGTACAACAGACCTAAACTCCGCTCTGTCCTGTGCCAATCGCACTGTCTCTGACACTCCCATCCCGATTAT